TATACGTTTCGCGGAAAAGCAAAGAAAATTTAGGTAGTGTAAACAGTAAAAGTCCAATTTTTTGCTACATTCTACGTGGAAAGTCGAAGATACTTTATTTCATACTCTTTCATAAAATAGATTGACAAATTGCATAAAAGTTTTTCTCCCGGCTTTGTATAAAAATCACATGTAAGTAAATCTCAGTATGTCATCCGACTGTCGGATTAATGCGTATCATTATGATACTATCGTCGCTGTGTATCGAAATTAAGTGCAAGTATTGAAACTTTGTAATTTATTTCAATTCGTATCGGATTACGGTTTGAGATAAATATTATAGTTTGAAAGACCAATCAAATAAAAATTTACTAGGGTTTAGTAAGTTTTCACTGATTGGTTATATTTTATCTAGTGACAATGAGTTTCGGAACGCTACCCCCGTCATGTAATCACGTGTGATATCGCGGAAGAACATGTCTGTGCACGTTACCCGCGCTTCTCTACGCAGTTCATCATTTTACACAACCTTCGTGCTCATGTCGTTCAGTTCTCGTCGTGTTAACGCTTTTGTTGTAATCACCGTGCTTGTGTCGTATTTCTGAACCGTCTTGCAGAGAAACAGTATATCTAAAAAGTAGTACATCTAAAAAGATTATATGAGGATTACTGACATTGGTTTTGTAAGTTACATATTATCTCGACCGGTGTATATTTCATTCCAAACGGCGTTATTTATCGAGGCACGAGAATTAGAATACTCGCTCTTACGTTGAACGATTATGCGCGCAATTACAGTATCTAAGTGAATTTCAGAGAGTTCCACGAATACGATCTCTTTTCACTCTAACATGATTATTTCGATCTCATACGCGATTCAGTGTACGTGCAGTACCCGTTCCTTAATGACTTTTGCAAGATATCGTTGGGATAATTCTCGAAAAAAAGTGAGATCAACATATTCTTGTGCTTACTCGATATTACGTCTACACTGCTATTGTGCAAAGAAATGTAGTACATATGTCATTTATTATATCTCGGGACTGTCTTTCTGTCTTTAGGTCCGTGATGACAGTGCTGCATCTAATATAACCTTGATGTCATTCAATTCTTGTCGTCATAATGCTTTTGTTGTAATCATCTTGTGTCGTATTTCTGAATCATCTTGCAGAGAAACAATTACTATACGGACAATCTAAACGGATTAAATAAACTGACATTGATTTTCCATTAGCTATATATTTTCTCCACTAGCGTCCATTTCATCGCAAACGACGTAAGTAATCGACAATATGAGAAATACATTAATGGCTCTTACATTGAATGTTTATGCGTGCAATTACAGTATCAAATTAAATACGTACGTAGAGTTTGACGAATACGATTCTCGTTCACTCTAAGATGATTATTTCGATCTTACACACGATTCGATGTACGACATTTTTAATCAATATGCGTTCCTACATGACTTTTGCAAGATATCATTAGAATAAATCGCGAAAAGATTAGATTGACGCATTTTTGTGCTTATTCAATATCGTACACTGACGCTTTTTTGTGCAAGGAATAGAAGCACGTACAATTTATTATATATTTCGATTTTTTCCTGCTTTATTTATAAATCACATATTTGCGTATATCTCAGCATGCTGCCCCACTATCGATTGATGCATATCATCATAATACTATATATTATCGCCATGTTTCGAAATTCGGTGCTACTATCGAAAATATATAATTCATTTTAAGCCGTATCAGGTTACGAATTGAGACTGATTTAAATTGAAATTTGGCCTACCAGAGAAAGATTTACTAATCTTACAATTAGTGTTAGTGTATTTTCTCTGAATGTTGTAGATTTTCAGTAGTAACAACCCAGTAAACACAAAGTAACAGTTACATAACCGTAAGTTAAAATTTCCTACTCAACAATATAACTGTTACATAACACACGTGTTATATAACAGTTATATTGTTGATTAGGAAATTTTAACTTACAGTCATATAACTGTTACTTTGTGTTTACTGGGTATGAATTTCGGATCATGGCCCCTCCCAGACAGCCCACCATATCTAAAAAGACAGCTTTAACACGCCTTTAAGTCTAAAAGAGGTCTTAAAGACGTCTTTATGATGTCTTTTAGATATGTGTGCTGTCTGGGCTGTCACG